GGATTAAGCCAGTGCTTGTGGTGCTTGCATCCCACGTTAAAGAGCTGGTTCAAATCTTGGCTATTCTGTGCTTCTCATCAAGATTCCAACTAATGCCTCTTAAAGGCAGTGGAGAATGGGCCAAGTACTTGAGTTCAGTCACCTACATGGGAGACTCAGTTGGAGTTTTTGACTCCTGGCTGCAGCTGGACTAACCCTGGCTAATGTAGAGCTCTCTCTCTCCCTCTCTGATTTTAAATCAATCAATCAGTCAACCAAGCAAGCAATCTTACAAATAAAGTGAAATAGGGACTTGGGGGCTTGTTGTAGGGCCTTGACAAGGGGATCTCCAAATACTCAGCCAGTTCTTGACACTCCCGATGTGCCCATCAGTGTTTCCCATTCCTACTCTGCCAAGATCTCATACCAATGCCATGAAAGAGAATAAGGAAGCTGTCTTAACTACGCCCTGCAGAATTCTTCTAGGTGTAAGTAGGAATGTCATTTGGTTGGCAAGGTGTTTGTTATGCCAAGGCCCAGGACACACTGGGAAAGCTGAGGGGTGAACCCCAAGGACCTTCATCATTCTACAAAACTGAAAGTCAGTAGAGTTTGAATTTCTCCAGGGTTTGTGAGGGGATTGGGAATGGGAAGAAGGAGGACAAAGAAACGTAGAGGGAAGAAAGTGGGCAAGTGCATGGGGTAGAGGAGTACTGTCCCTGAGAAATTCACAGTGGCCACAATAGCTGAAGCCTTACCATACCAGAGGGGTTGCACGTTCAGTTCTACCTTGTCTGCTTGGCTGTATGGTGATGCATACACTGCCCTTCCAACTTCTCTACATACCCTAAATCCTCCTTCAGATGTTGCTCTGCACAAGGATGAGGTGCTGTTAGAACTCTGGGGACATCAAGGTAAAAGACACTGTCTTCTTTGATTGGGACTATGAGCACAGGTGAAATTCGGAATTTGTTGGAAACAGAATTGGAACAAAAAGTCATGAGGAGAACCCTAAATCCTGCTCGTTATCTTTCTTTCCTTGGTTCCATGTGATATGTGGGATGATTTCATTTGAATATGAAACAGCAGGATGGACCCTATGCCCGAAGGATGGGGGCTCAGCCAGGTGGGCGACAAGGACCGTTTTTGCTGTCCCTTTTCATCCTTGTGGTGGCTTCATGTAGGAGTTGTGATGAATGAGTGAGCTCAGACCATGAGAGCAGAAGTGTAGGGGAAAACGTTCTCTTCCTGGCCCCCACCTGGTTCACAGCCACACCCAAGCTCCTGGAATTGTCCACTGGGTGCTAAGCACAGTGGTGTGGGTATGATGTGGCATTTGGGGGCTATTTTGGCCAGGAATGTGAGGCTTTTGCTAGGACTCAGCAATTCTACCAACAGTTCTTCTGTGGTTTCCTTGCAGCCTCACACACCCTATGCTGTCACTTTAGTGCCTACACACAGTGCTATATCCCAGGCTCTCACGCTGCTGGTTTCCTGTTGACAGTGGGTGCTTCCCAACAGTCGGTGGCACAGGGCTCCTTGGAAAGTGTCTGACTTCCATCCCTCTCTCCCTAGGCACAAACCACAGGCTTCCTTCTAGGAGTTTCTGCAAAATGATTTCCCCTCAGCCTCAAATGTCTTGCTATGGCTTTTTCCAAAAGGGGTGATTTGCCTCAAAACCATTCTTAGACTTTTTTTCCCTCTCTCTCTTCCTATATTAGACAAGAGAGTTACACCCATAAGTTGTCAAAGCTGGAAGGACTCCTCCAGTTCATTTAGTATGTTGTGATTTTGTTACAGATGAGACCCAGAGAAGAGAGAGAAACTGCCCAGAGAAACCCAGCCTGCTGTCTGCAGTCATACCCCCGCCCTGCCCTTACCAAATGTGTCTGAGCTCAGCAGCTAAGCAGCATTAGTTGGTTAATACTTGGGTGGGAGATTGCACTGGAACACTGGGTGCTGTAGGCTTTTTAATGGGAGAAAGAAGAAACCCAGCTTGCTGGTGGAAGTTGCTCTGGAGTCTCAGTCTTGCTCCAAGAGCATAATCTTCCCACTTCATCCTAGTACAGTGCCTGCAGTTTGCTGCATTACAGGAAGGGCAGACTTGCATTAAATGAAGAAAACCAGGAACCAAACACAGTGTCATTGACATCACACGGTTGGACCATATCTTGCAGAATTCTGATGCTTGCTATGCCCTTAACTCTTTGTATGACCTTAACCAAGTCACATTGATCCTCGGAACTCAGCTCGTCATGTGCAAAATAGGACGATAAGTCTCAAAGCTCACAGGGTCAAGGCTAAGATGACTGAAAGGAGGTATGGAAAGGTCTTTAACAAAAGTTTCAGAGCTCCAGTGGGGATTATTATTAGAATTTTTTAAAAAAATCTGGCTTTAGAGACATTGAATTGTGAAGTGAGGTTGGTTTTGGATTAGTTTGTACTCTGATAGTCCCAATCATGGCCCAGGTAAGAAGTGGTCTGATAAGTGATCTAATCCTTGGTTCTCTGAAATCAGGTCTCATTGATTTCTATAGTTTGAATATGATTAAGTGTCTCCAGTCCAAGGCTTCTGGTGCTGAAATTTAATGCCTACTCTGAAGCATTAAGATGGTAGAAGCTTAATCCAACTATATTCTAGAGGCATGGCCTGATACAGTTTATTAGAGCTGGATAAGGTTGTTAGAGTAGGGCCCTATGATTGATTCCTGGTGGTTCTTATAAGAAGAGGGAGAGAGGCCAGACAGACCTATACACACGTTCTATGTCCCTTACCATGTGATGACCTTTGCTGCCTTAGGGCTCTGCCATCCCCAGATGCAAATACTTGATCCTCCAAAATGATAAAATAAACGTCTTTTCTTTAGAAAGTATTCTGCCTGAGTTATAGCATTATAGTAAGGAAAAGGTGACTAATACATAGACTAAAGAAATTTCCTCCTGAAATGGAAATGCAGGGACCAACATGGAAAGGGTAGCTTTTTACTTTACCTATTGTTATCATTAAAACAAAATGACTCCGACTAAATAAAACAACTTAACTCCCACTTATATCAACCTTGGGTTGTAAGGAAAGAACATTTTGACACCAAAAATTAAAGGAAGGGCATACATTCAGAGAAAGAATGCCTCATATTAAATAAAACTGGACATGTGACCAAAGGGCTACTTTGTTATTTTTTCTACTGCACTCTGGACTGGCAAAAACTTAATATTAAGGAGACAGAATGACTAATTACAGCCCATGTGCTTGTCAGCCTAGCCCTGAAGTGCTCTAACAGAACAGATCCAGAATGGCTGAGGTCCCAGTGCCTAATAAAAACCATGCTAGGCCGGCGCCGCAGCTCACTAGGCTAATCCTCCACCTGCAGCGCCGGCACCCGGGGTTCTAGTCCCAGCTGGGGCGCGGGACTCTGTCCCGGCTGCTCCTCTTCCAGTCCAGCTCTTTCCTGTGGCCTGGAAAGGCAGTGGAGGATGGCCCAAGTCCTTGGACCCCTGCACCCGCATGGGAGACCAGGAAGAAGCACCTGGCTCCTGGCTTCAGATTGGTGCAATGCCAGCTGTAGCGGCCATTTGGGGGGTGAACCAACAGAAGGAAGACCTTTCTTTCTGTCTCTCTCACTGTCTAACTCTATATGTCAAATAAAAAAAAATAAAGTTCATCTCTCTCCCTCTCAGGAAAAGAAAAGTTCCTGTAGGAGGATCCAGTGGGGTGGAGGGGTGGAATTGTAGGAGGAGAAAGGTGGAAAATTACATCTAATCAATGTCTATGTTTTTTGTAAAGCTCCATCTGAAGCATGGTGCAATTTAACTCAGACGCTTCACTCCAAAGTCTGTTCTGTTTCCACTGCAAGAGTCAGCAAACTCTGGTGCATGGGCCAAATCAGGTCCAACCATCTCATTCTGTACATACGATTTTATGGAAATGCAGGCATGCCTACTCATAGCACTACCACAGCACTGCTGACTAGTTGAAACAGAGTTAATGGTTCACAAAACTAAAATATTTACTATCTGGTCCTTTATGGAAAAAACTGTTCTCTCTGCGTTTTGCCATGCTCCTTTTTCACAGTGTAACTATCTACACAGTCATTATGGAATTCAGATCGCACGCTAAGGGAATCCCTGCCGAGACTGAGATATTGTTGAGAAAGCTGTGATTATTAGTCTGCCCTGAAAGATCTAGAATGCTTGTCAGGATTCTTTGTCCCCACTTTCTAAGCCTCTGGATGACAGAGATTAGGAAAGGTATGGCCAAGGCTATCCTGAAGGAAACTGAAAGTGTGATGCTGTGTATGTGAGGAGCTGTGTCTAGTCACCTGTCCTCCGGTCCCAAGGATGTCCTGGTGTTCCTACCCTGGTGTCTATGAAACCCAGTCCTTATCTCTTATTATTTTCTCTGAGCGGTCTAGTTATCCAGCTGTGCAGTGTTCTAAAGGCTACAGGACTGAGCTGGAGGTCAATATTCTTTTTTGGAAATGATACTGGGCTAGAGGTGAGGACCTTTGGGTTCTAGGATTCGCTCTGTATGGCTTTGGACAAGACACAGCACTTTCCCTCTCTTGGTCTTACTCTTCCTCCTCTGTGGAATAAAAACATTAATCAGATGATCTCAAAATTGTCATCTTCAGTGTTAGCTGAAGTCTGTATGTCACCCCTTAGGGCTAGTAGGAACAATGTATTAATTAGTGACTTCAGTGATTGGAAATGTATGGGATGAGAAGGAAGTCTGTTTTTTCAAGTCCTCAACTTCATTATACATGTTGGCTATTTTCAGTTATTTAATGATTACTATGTGTTGGTCATCATGTTGGTGGGAGATGTGTGTGGATGAGAGTATTGGTAGGGAGTACTCAGATGAATCAAGATACATCAGCCCAGCCCTGAGCAGTTCCCATCTCTCCCTACTCATTTTCCATTTGGACAAGGTTATAGTGATTCTGGTTGATAATGGGGTACCACACCTTACCAGGTTAACTGGATGACTCACAACATATTTATTCCTAATTCCAAGGTCTTACCTCCTTTAAGGGGGAAGTTGTCAGGTGGGTTGGGAATGGAGTCCTGGAAGAGAATAAGAAAAAACATGATGAAGATGACACTCAATTGAAACAACCCATCTTTTTCTTTTCCGTTTCGGTTATCCTCAAAGTACTGCGTGATTTGGAATTCATCCCCCATCTGACTTTCATTGTAAAAGTTATCTCACTGACTTAGTTCCTAGGGGGCTTCCTACTCACTTGCTTCACTACTTGCTTCTTGGTAACACAAAACAAGGTTTATTATCCACATTTGTCAGGCAAGAACCATGGCTTTGAGTGGGATAAAAAGACTTGCCCAGGGCTTACACAACAAGCTTACAATAGCTCAGGGACCAGAGCTGAGACTCTTAGTTACCAGTTTGTGGCATTTTTAAAATTGATTTGTATTATGTCTTTCCATCTTCAGACAACATAAGAACAATCCAGTGTAATATGTAGGTATATGTGGTTTTTTTTTCCATGTTTGATTCATCTGTGTACATACCTGATGAAGGCACATTTTACTCTTTCCTGTCATTGGAAATTCTGAATTAATTGAGTATTTATACATCAAGTACTGTGCAGATACCATAAATAAACTGAATTTCTGCCTTCATGAATTTATTGCAAGTTTATATTTGAATAAATTTGAATACACAAATTTATAACTATGCAACATAAATATAAATATTATATATTTATACACATTACACAAGGTAAAAAAGTTTGTGGGAAATGGAATTAAAAGATAAGTTTATTTTGTGTGCAAAAATGTTTGCATAGTTATTTTTATAATATGCATTTTCTATGAAGTTTTTGAAGACCTCTCGTATATTATTTAGGGAACATATACATACATATATACACATATATATGAATATATACACACACACATATACACAAATATTTACACAAATAATAATAGGTGGACAGAAACAGACTGTCTTTTGAAGGATGGAGTCTCAGCTGGGGAATTGAAAAGGATTAAAGAGACATACAGGTTCTCTGAGCAAGCAGTCAACAGAAGCAAAGGGACTGAGTTCTCCCCTAATAAATTCTTCAAATACTGGCTTCCCTACCCTAACTCCTCCCTTTTCTCCCATGTCAGCCATGGAGACCCACAGAGACTGTCCTGGCAGTGAGAAACAAAGTATCTTATTCATCTTATTTTAAAGCAATTACTTTTTTTGGGAGACAGAAACAAATCTTCCAACTATTGGTTAACTCCCTAATGCCTGCAATGGCAAGGCTGGGACTACACTACAGCCAGGAGCCAGGAATTCAATCTAGGTTTCTCATACAGGTTGCAGGAACCCAACTACTTGAGCCATCACTGCTGCCTTCCAGGGTGCATGTTGGCAGGAAGCTGGAATCGGGAGTGGAGCCAGGACTTAAAACCAAGCACCTGGATATGGCATGTAGACATACCAACTGGTGTCTTAACCATTAAGGCAAATACCCATCCCTCATGTAGCATATTGAATTGAAATGTTAACAAATGTCTAAGGAAGTGTGAACATTACATGGACAAAAACCCACTTTCAAACATCTGCCCAAGCAACAACATAGCAGCTGTCCACACTTACTTCTCCAGCGCTCTATGCAGCCCTCAGGGCCCATTACCCTTTGACTCTGCCCTGTCTTCAGGAGCTCCACTCTACATTCCACTGACAGCTTGTTTCTGATACGTGGAGCCCCTCTCTGGCTGGAGCAGGTGGCAGCAAGTTCATGAGACTTCTGAAAGCAAAGCCCTGCACTGGCACTTATCAGTCCCGGTGCTGATTTGGAGATGGGGGACATCCGTTGAAACATTTGGGACTCAGGTTTTCAGATAAAGGGAGGACAGTCTTGGTCTGGAAGGTCCTTTTCTCTCTGTTTTCATAGGCTATGCTTGCACTGCTTTAGTTGAAAGCTTATAACCCGACAATGCTGTACATGGCGGTCTCTCAATTACACATGCAGTTCCCAGGAAAACCTGACATCACAAAATTCCCCTTTGTGTTGCCTCTGTGAGACAGCAACTGGCATTTCAAAATTTAATAAACACCCAATTTACTGCCAAGCATGACAGTCGATTAGTGTGACATGCAATTGCACAAAGAAAAACATTTACATTTAAATGATGAACAAAGATCATTGATTTCATCAGCTGCCCAGTGCTGTATCCAGAGACTGAGAATTGGAGAATAGCAGAACCGTGGAGCCACCTCAGGGACAACAAGGGCAAAGACCAGCTCATTTTGCACGTGTTGGATGAGCACCTGTGGCAAGTGCTTAGGCACTGGAAAACATCTTATGGATTTTATGTTTTAGCCACTATAACAATCATTTAAAAAACCCAAATAAATATATAGAACTTCAAGTTGCGGTGGAATCTCTGGAAGGGGAAGAATCAGAGCGCTTTGAGAAAGGCTTTTCTCAAACTTTAAAGTATCTATGAATCATGTAGGGAGCTTGTTAAAATGCAAATTTTGATTCAAACAGAAATTCTGTACTTCTGACAAGCTCCCAGGTGATGTAGCAAGGCTGTAAGAGGTAGTACAGGGATGAGGGCCTAATTTATATGGGAGTCAGGGAAGGTATCTCCTCTCTCTGTCATTTGAATGCTTTCTGCTTTCCTAACTTCAGACAAGACAGGTCAAAAGCAAAGCATCTCAGTTGCCCAAACTCCCATCAGGGCCCAGGGAAGCCAGGACAGAGTATGACTATTCCTATTTTGAAGAGCTCTTGGGCTGGGGTGTCTTTAGCTTCTTTTGGCTACCCATGGTAGACATGATTAGTCAACTGTACATCTTTCAGTCCATCAAGCTAATTTTAAAGGGGAGGAAGCCCAGACACTCATGAGTCATTGGCAGATCCTGGACTAATGTTCTCTGGCTCACTTTCCACAGTCCCAAGACTGATGCTGGCTTCAGAATCCAAGACTAGGAAAGATCTTTCCTCTCTTGTTCCTCTCCCATAAGCAGGCTGTGCTTTGGGGGATGGATAAGCAGGTCTGAGAGATGATGACTGTTAACATTTGCCCAAACAGGTTATTGTTGATATTGTCCATCAACTCTTTTTTTTGGCAAGGTATCCCCCTGTCCTAAATTCTCCCTCACTTTTTGCCTACATATATGGATACTGGTTGGGGAAATGTGGCTTATCTTGCTCAGAGACTTGGCTTTGAGTAAGGTAGTACCTAGGTTTGACCTAGACACAAACAAATGGACCATCCCTGGTTGTCATCCTCAGTTCCATGGAAGAGCTCAGGAAACTCCTTCTCCTCCATGGTTATTAAACTGCATTTCATAATTGTATTCTCTCTTTTTTTAGCCCTTGTGGATATCTGATGGGCATCTCCAAAAATACTGAAATTCTCTTTGGGTATGGAGCAAGGAATGGACATCTTTGATCTTTTTATCCTCAGGTGAAATGATCCACATCCCAACAATCTTTTCTGCATAGAACTATTTTTCTCTCCTCTTTTTATCACTGAGATTAGAGGGGCAATAATCCTTTCTTCCACTGAGTAGTTGTGGCATAAGTAGGATATTGTATATAAAGTTGAGTGAGTTATTTTAGGGATTGTCTTGATCCTCATGATGTGATTAATTTGTCCGAATACCTTGAAAAGCTTTCACAGAGGAGTGATGTACAGAGAGTAGAGCAAGGAGGGGTAGGTGCAATTAGCACCCAAGGATTCTTTTGACACAAAATGCTCTCTCTGGATTGAAATAAACAAAGGCAAATGATGTTTACAATATTCCAGGGGGAATTCCATTTTCCATTTTTTTGTTTGTGGTCCATGGAGACTTCTCTTATTTTCAAGCTAGCATGATTAAATAGTTAATTGAGGGTTACTCCTAAAGGTAAATGTTTTATATGCATTATCTGATTTGGCCTTTAAGTTAACCTCAAGAATTAGGGGTAGACTAAGACTTAGAGAAGTGACCTAACAGATGGTCCACATGTGGTGAATAGTAGAGGGTGGGTTCAAACTTGGGTCTGTTGACTGTGAAGGCAATACTCTTTGTTGACTGGCTATGGCACTACTCCAGATTAGGGCAGGATGAAACTGGGCAGCAAATTCTTCTGAGACTCAATGGGACAGTGAATGGAGGGCATAGGAAATCCATGGGATAAGGCAAATTCTTTTATTTTTTTTTAAATTGGGAGCACCGGATTTGGCATGGTTTATGAAAGGGGATGTTAGACCAGAGACGCTTAAATCACTGCTGCTTCTGTTTAAAGGACTTCCTATCTCCTGGAGATCTTGTAAAAATGCAGATAACTGTCTCAGTCTGAGAGAGCCCCTGAGAGTTTGCGTCCTAATAACTTTCCAGGTGATGCCAATGTCTCTGGCATCTTAGATGACATTTAAGCAATGGCTTAACAACATTACTCCATAGGCAACCAGAGTACCTGAGGTCCAAGGAGGGTGATTGTGGGTCTGGGCTCACTTATGGGTGTGGGGAATTTGCCTGGTCTGAGGATAGGGGTTGTGTCCCATCCTGTCAGCCTCTTCTAGCACTGCATCTAGTCCTGCTTCCTGCTGTTGCCTTGTCTGGTGTGGAGCACCTTCTGTTCTGACTCCAACCCTCCTCTCCTCACAGCTGGGCTTGCCTTCCTCTGGGCTGAGTGTCTACTCACTCTTTTGCCTCACCCAGAACACCATACCTCACTTTTGCCTGGAGTGATCTCAGCAGAAGAACATCAGTTAATGAATGCAGAAGGAGTTATAGAACAAGGCAGTTCTTCCTCAATCCCAGTGCATTCAAACAGGGATCAAGAAATGCCAGAGCCGCTAAGGTGAAGGATATTTATGACTTTGGGTATTACTCCATAGAGTACTTATTAATAAGAAAGAAAAGAGAAGTAGCCAGTCACCGCCTTAATTGACTACACATATCATCCACAGAAAATGACACGATCTGTCATATACTTCTAGCTGTACCACAGTAAGTATGCTACATTACCTCTGCACTGTTGCCCAAGATTTTCATCTGAATATAATAATGAGTAAACACTAAAAAAATCCAGAACACAAGCTCCTATCACAGAATTGGCCTGGACCCTTTGAAGAGTCAAGGCCATGCAAAACAAACCACAAAGGGCAGGAGGGATGACAAGAACAGTGCTTCTCAGACCTCAGTGTGCATGCAGGTCACCTGGGAGCTTGCTAAAATGCTGACCTTGCATGGGCCTGAGGTTGTGCATTTGTAACGACTGTCCAGGATCACCCTGTAAAGAGTCATGTTCTAGATTTATAAGTAGACATAACCATAATACATTATGTATTGTGTGACTCTCCATTGGAGTCTTGATCCCCAAACAACACACAACACAACAGCTACAGAAGATCTTTTTGGACAAGAGGGGAAATTAAAATATGGATGGTGTCTGAGGGGCTTCAGGAGGTGCATAGGCAGGACTGATTGAAGCCCTGCATATGAGTATTAGATGATATGACTGAGTTAACACAGACTCTCTTGGCTGTGATGATGGCACAGTGGTAAGTAGAGGAAAGACACTAGAGGACGTGTAGGTCAAAGGTCATACTGTTCACGTGCTTTCTCATAGTTGATAGAGACAGCATCAGGTGGCACAAAATATTGACACTTGGCTGATCTAGTTGAGCGTTTATACAAGTGTTAGCCATTCTGCTCTTCTATAGGTTTGAAAATTTTCAAAGCAACACTTTGAGCTGAAGACATGTTCCTAATTTTTGGAGGACTGGCTTTCATTTAGCTCTTCTGCAAACCCCTTTCCCTTCCTCAGCAGAAATTTCCCTCCGTCTCCTCTGTTCCAGGGCATTCTTCCAGGAACCGGAGCCCCTCTGCCTATTTGGGTGTTCCCCTCCTGGTCCAGCTCTGCACTTGCTCCTAGGAAGATTCTCAGTAGGTTTATTATTGATAGATGGAACACATGTCAGTTGCAGAGAGTAACTGGTAGAAGAAAGTTTCTCAAGGCATTTCAACTCATCCTCACATTGTATCTGAGCTTTTAAACTAACCAAACAAATAAATAAAAAAAAAACCTCCACAGTACTGTCACTGCCACCGCCACCACCACCAATCACTACTATCAACAGGCAGTCAGCCCCACTGTTGGTGGGGGAATCTAGGGTGTTACTGTAACAATAAACTTTTCTTTTTTAAAAAGAACATTCTTTGCTTATAAAGAGAAAAGAGTTAGTAGCATTCTCTTTGTTTCTTTTCTTTTTTCTTTTTATTTATTTATTTTTTTTGACAGGCAGAGTGGACAGTGAGAGAGAGAGACAGAGAGAAAGGTCTTCCTTTTTGCCGTTGGTTCACCCTCCAATGGCTGCTGTGGCCGGTGCGCTGCTGATCTGAAGCCAGGAGCCAGGTGCTTCTCCTGGTCTCCCATGAGGTGCAGGGCCCAAGCACTTGGGCCATCCTCCACTGCACTCCCTGGCCACAGCAGAGAGCTGGCCTGGAAGAAGGGCAACCGGGACAGAATCTGGCGCCCCAACCGGGACTAGAACCCAGTGTGCCGGCGCCACAAGGCAGAGGATTAGCCTAGTGAGCTGCGGCGCCGGCCTTCTCTTTGTTTCTAAAAACTGTCTGGAGTCCTTGAAAACCTCCTGATCCTGAACCTTGCTCTAACCTCTTGGAATGTAACCATTTGCATTTTCTCCTTGGTCTAAGTAAACCTAGTCTGGTGTACATAACAGAGATGTCTTTAGGGTTGAGGGCCTGGAGCCCCCTTGAGAGGTAAACACCTGCCCTTGGTGCTAACCTAGGAGCCTATGTTATGCAGTTCTCTTGTTATGCAGTTCTCTGTCTCTTGAGTAGGTAAGTTCCATTGCCTTTTCTTTTCCTTTGCTGAGTAGATTGTGTGAAATTTCATCCTGATTCCATTGAAATCTCTTACAGTCGATGTCTATGCATGCACTCTTGTGCTCACTCACTAATAAATCACTTTTCTTTCTATATCTATGTGACGATGTATCTCTTTGTTGGTAGGATATTTTACTTCCTCCAGAGTTAACTGGTCTAATCTCTTTGGAAGCTTAGTGACAACTTTTATACAAGTGAAAATACACATTCTATTCCTGCCATCAGGAATTTATCCTATAGCTACACTTGTAGATGTACCCAGAGGGCAAACACTCTAGAGAACAGCAAAGATAAAATAAATTATGAAGCATCTGTGCAACAGAACACTATGCAACTCTTTAAAAGAATGAAGTGCCCTGCTATGCCTTGACATAGAAGGGTCACTAAGTGAAACTTCAAATGAGTAAAGCAAGGTACAGAAATCCAGGCTTATTCTAGGGATGCATGTACTATGCACAGAGTTTTGGAAAGATATACAACACCCTGTTCCCAAATGGTGTCTCAGTGAAGATGGACTGGTGGTAGATGGGTGTGGGATGTACAAGAGACTTTCACATTTCTTTCTGTCCTCTTATTTACTGGTTACTTAAACCATTTCAATGTAATATTTTATAATTAATACATTGATTTAATTGTAAACACTAGTAAAACAAAACACAACCACTACAGAAACTTAAAGAAATCACTAGAAAGGATGTGTCCTAAGTAATGCAAGAATAAAGATTGTGTTGGTCATGTTTGTGACGCTATAGTCAGTGCTTAGAACAATGTCCTGTATACAGTAGATCCTCAGTAAATATTTGAGATTGAAGCCAAAGTTCCCTTGTGTCTTTCCCAAGGAGTTTGATCTTGCAGCTATTTGATGTTGAAGTTGAGCTCAAGGTGATCTTTGCTGATTTTCTTGCATGCCTAGATCTTCTCTCCATCCTTTTGCTCACCCTGTTCCACTGGCCAGGAGTGCCCTCTCCTCTGATCTCCCCTTTCTACCCATTTCTGAGCCCACCTGAAACTCTGGTCTCCAGTGAAGTTCTTCTTAACCCACACTGGGAAAAATGCTGTCACTTCTTCACTTGCAGTCTCTTGATAGTTCTATGTGTCTACCTTCTATTTTCTTAAATGTACCAATATCAACACTTCACCTCATTAAAAACATTCATGAGCAATCTGCGACACCCATTCAGCATATTGTAACACACCCTGGTGGATTCTCTGAAGACACCCATTTTCTAAAACAAGAAGCAACTTCTTTCGTGTTCTCATCTAAGAGAAACAAATATCCCCATTTCCCTCAAGCAGAGCCAGTCTCTGGGAACAGTTTGATCCTGTGCAGCGTGCACCTTGCCAGCACATAGCATTCTGAGCAGTCTCAGAGGCAACAGGTGCTGAAAACCCTCTTCTCTCTCTCTCTCTCAGCTTTGTGCTTCTTGCGACACCCTAAGCTCTTCAAAGCCCTGGTTTGCCAGGAAGCTTTTGATTTGTCTTGTGGGCTTTAATGCTGAAATGCCCACAGTTCTCAGGAACTCTTTTCTTCTAGATACGGACTTTGGAACTTAGCTCCTAGTTTTAAAGAAAGAAAAAAATCCTCCTGGCAATGGATGAGGCAGAAATCTCAGGAGTCCCCAGACGGGGAGTAGAGAGCCTCCAGGTCCCATCTGAGGTCCTTGGAGACAGCAGCTGTCAGATTCCTCTCCTTGACTTGGGTCTCTGCCCCAGCATCTCAAGGTCAGTAGCTTCTTTGTGCTCTTTTGGCAGATTTGGAAAGTTTTGAGTTGACAGTCCAACAATGTTTCTCTCTGAAAGCCAAGTTATTTCAGAGAGTTCAGTTCCTGTTTCTTTTTTCACTTTCTATTATATATATATATATATACACACACACACACACATATATATATTCACATCCATAATATACAGTTGTATAGAATATGTATTACATACACATTATTTTTTGCTCTCAACTAGTTAATAAATTTGTCCCGGGCTGGGACTCAGTGGAGGAAGCTGGGTGCAGCTGGGAAAGGAAAAGCAAGCCAGAGGAGTTCACTTACCGCTCTGCGAACGACCAGTACCATGAAGGTTGCCACGGTGAAGACAAGGCACAGAGCCAGCAAGGCTGTGGTGAAGCAGAAGTAGCTGCGGCTCCTGGGTCCCCAGGGGCCGGCTGCAGGGCCGGCGGGCACGTGCATGGCCGCCTCTGCGGAAGGGGGCCCTCGCTGGAGTGCCTGCTGCAGCCCTGGCTCCATGCTTTATATAATCTTCCCCACATCACACCTTATCTCTCTTCATCTGACTCGGTTCTGGGCTCATCTCTGTTCCAAGAAGGATTCTCCCCCTGCATCCTGGATCACGTGACTTGGAAAAAAAGCTTCACCGGCTGCTGCCTGGCCCAGAAACTGCTCTCTGGGGGCGTGAGGCGAAAGGCGGCCGCAAGGGTGGGGGAGAGGCTCATTTTTCATAGCCTGGGATTAATTTGAGTGCAGAGACACTGCTGCTACAGAGAAGGTGGCTGATGTCAGAGGGTGTGGAGGAAAGTGACGGTTCCCCCTACGCCTGTGTGTGTCTGTGTGTGCGAAAAAATGACTTCTGCTTCCTGAGACTCAGCCCCCAAACTGCTTCCTGCTGCACGAGTGACTCCTTGGCTTTGGCGAGGCCGTGCCTCAGAGGACCTCCTGGGCGGGGGGGGGGGGGGGGGGGGACGGTCTCAGAGGCTGGATTCCACGGGCTGCCTTGGACTCCTTGGATTCCTTGGACTGACCCCAAAGAGCTCACTTGGGTAGACTGCAACTGCTGATAACTGGGCATGCTCCCAGTTATCTGGAAAGGTGGCCCCCAGAACTGAGGAGTGTTATCCAAAGGGAGACAGGCAAAATGAAATCGAAGGGCAGTTTTAGAGGCTATTAGACAGTGGGAATCCGGAGACCCTGATGTTTTCAGCAAACACCCTTAGAGTGTCTTTTGATCTCATGAACCCGAGCAAACCATGAAAAGTGCAAGGAATTAGTGGTGGCAGTAGGGGAGTGGGGAGGCAGTGTGGTGTGAAAATGCAGGGTGTGTGTATGTGTGTGCTTTGTGGTGGGCGGGTATTTGTGTTGTGTGTTCTGTATGGTGTATGTCTGCAGGCTATGTTTGTGATGTACGTTATGTGCCATGTGTGTTGTGTGTATGTGAGTGTGACAGTGTGTGGAGTGTGCATACATGTATGTGTGACTACTGTAATTGAACTCCAGCTGTCTCGGGCACAGTGCTAGGGGCTCTGCGTATGGCCTCACTCCACCCTTTGAGGCAGGTGACATTTCTTTTCTGCAGATGGGAGGATTGAGGACTTGAGAGGCTGAAAATGATCCCAATCAAAGTCACAAATGCTGATCAATGAAAGCAGTTGGGTGCATATCCAAACCTGCCGGTCCCCAAGGTCCTTACTTGGTCACTTAGGCTTTAGTGCATTTGAAGGTGGGGAGTCTGAAGTCTGGTCTCAGCCTTTCCCCCTGTCAGCCTTGCTTCCTTGTACCCATCAACATTATAGTCATGGTGAAGATCAAATGAAGTGGTTTGAGGTTACTCCATGAATGGGAATAGACTTGGCCGATGGTATGCAGCGATTCCTGTTAAACATCCCAAAGAGTGCCCCGGGTCAAGTCTGGAGTTTGGATAGCTAGGTTCTCTGGGGGCCAAGCTGAGTCACTTTTGTGATTACTAATGAAAATATTAATCACTGCAGAGTTGCTGCCTCCAGATGTGGGTCTTGGAAAACTGCATTGGGTGTCCCTCTGCAAGTAGCCCAGATTTGACAGCACTCCTCTCCTTTCTGCTCACTGCCCAGCTGTGTGTATCTCCGGGAACCAGTGGCGAGCCCAGCACTTCCCTAAGGAACTGTCTGTGTTCAAAGCCATACTTGCATTATTGTCATTAGTGCTGTTGCATCACCTGAGTTAGGTCAGATGTTCAGAGTTGGTCTTGGATATCCCTTCCTGGTGAATCTATAACATCATGAAATGGGGAAGTGGAAGAGGCGTCAAGAGATGAACTATTTTCTTGTGCTAAACAGAGTGATAGGCGGTATACATCCATTTTTTAGCCAAGTGTTCTTGATCCCAAGTTGGGCTTGATCTTGGAAGAAGTGTGTGTGCACATTTCATTTGTTTTGGTCAGTGAGGTGGGCCTGTGTTTTTTGGGGGTGTGCAACTGTCTCTTTGGAGAGAAGATTGTGTAGCCTGGTGGGCATGGACAGTGAGTGGGCAGCAGGGGCTCTGTGGACTGCTGAGAACAGGCTGTTCCCTTGGCCCTCTCGGTTCAGCCTCTTTGATCAAAGTGGAAAACTTCTGATTGTTGAATGGAAGCTGTGGGTGTTGAAAAATAAAAAGGCTTTGCTTGAACTTCAAGTCTTCCTGAAGGCCCGTGGGGCTGAGAAAGGCAGCGGAAAAAAAATGTTTGTCTTACAGTTACCCGTTTTGCATATAGTAGTACAATGTCCTCGCAGGGAAGGCTGACAAGGGGAAAAAAATCACCCTTTGTTTTTACTCAGAACCTTCTGAGCAGTTGAGATTTTTCAGAGCAGCTTCTAGGAGCCATAAGCCCAATCTCACTGTGTTTGTGGCGGCACTGCTCCACTCACAAGCCTTCAGTGGCTCCTGCTTCTCAACTCCTGTCTGCTTTTCAGCTATTCCAGTATCCAGCCTGGTGAATCCAAGGTCCATCCCCTGCGCCATCTGGCTCCTTTCTCTCTTCTGTAGCTACCCAGGGTGTGGATGGAAGGGGGTTTGGTGAATTAATTTTTTTTTTTCTGAGAGGGTTGCAGATCCTTTTGGGAGATAAAACTATACCAAGAGTATTAAAATATGAGAAAGCAGAGCTGCTGCTCTGGCTGGAGCAAAGTGGTGACAGACAGCAGGGCTGGGTCCAGCCTTCTTAATCACTCTATCCTGGACTATGGGTTCTCCAAGATGAACAAAAACCTAGAAATTTGTGATTTAGCTTAAATCTCTCATTCCTCCAAGGGGGAAACCACAACCCTGACATGGAGATGACTTGAGAGAGTTCCCATGGGAACAGGTAGAGACAGGCTTAGTGCACTCTGTTCATTCCATGCTCTCTGCTAATATTTCAGACCTGTCCAGGTTCTTCTCTTGTTTTCCACTCCCTTCGACTGCTTCTGTCCTTCTTGTCCATCAAAACCCTTGCTGGCCTGTCTGACCTCCTCCAGGAAGACCTGCATGGGTCTCTTGAGCCCACCAATATCCTTTCTCCTGAACTCTTTATTTCCATGGCACTTGACCTATTGAGCTATCAAATGTGTGAACATCTGGGAATTTTGCTTCCCTTCCGCCCCCCAAGACTGAGAGTCCCTGAGGAGAGTTTGCGCTTTCTCAGTCTTCTGATGCCTTGTTCTTGGTGCGGGGCCTGTATATGGGCAACCCTTAATCAATGCTTGTGTTGACATGGGTGTTGCTAGAGAAAGTTCTAGAAGTGTAGTTTATGCAAAGGAATTAGGATGTGTGATGGCATTTTTGCCCTCACTTCTCAGCTGTCCCCCATTTCCCTGTCCTCCTCCAGATGACTGGCCTGACTGCTCACCAGCCTGGCTCTGCAAGGATGTCCTCAAGCTCCTTTTAGTTTGGAATTAGTGGTCGAGATGTGGTTGTGGCACCTGAGACTCAGTGGGCAAATGGAACTAATCTGTCATTTCTTCAAGAGGAAACCCTACTTTGAGAAGATGAAGAGGAACAAGCTACTGGCCTCCCTCCCCTACTTCCCCATACAGTCTGTGGTTTCAAAGTACGGTTCCTGGACCAGCACCACCAGAAGCACCACTACCAGCAGCAGCATCTGAGAACTTGGCAGACTTCAGTTCTCACTAGAGCCACTGCATCAGAAACGCAGGCCTAGGTCTGGTAATCTGTGTTTTAATAAGCACCCTAGCAAAACTTATGATTCTTGAAACCACCTGAAAAACAGTGGTTTAGGAAAATAACTTGCCTAACTTCCAGAAAGAAACCCCAAGTAATCATCTGGTCTGTATTCTGGCCTTCGAGCAGGTGAATTACTCCTCCATGGCGTAGATGAGAAAACTGGGTCATAATAAAGCTATTGTCCATGTTCAGGTAGCACTGAGTAAGTGACGTATGAAGCTGAGTTCTTCCTCTTGGTTGAGCATTCTTTCTAACTTCGACTGTGTTAGATAGTAGGGTCTAAAATAGAATTGCTCATGCAGATAAAGATGTATTTAGAAAACAACTGTGATAATTTTATTCCTTTGAAATTCTCTTATAATTACTTTACATGGTAGAATTTTTTTTTAAATTGTTGTATGTGAGAGAAGGACAGATAGCCCCAGGGCATGTTCAAGCAATAAAATAAGCAATTAAACTCCTTTTTGAACAATGAGGGTCATGTCTCATTAACTGCAGGGTCCTTGGTCTTGCTGGGGCTCCTTGAAGAAACTGGGCATTGCCGTTGAGCCATAGTCCACCTCCCTGAGAAGACTTTGTGAAGACAGGTGTAATGGGGGCACATTTAGAGCAGGGTCAGAAAACCATGGCCCATGAGTCAAATCCAGCAGTCACCTATGTTCATAAATAAACTTTTATTGAAACACAGTCATGTGCATTTTATTAGTGAATTGTCTATGGCTGCAAAGCCACTAGAACAACAGAGTAAAGAAGTTGTGAGAGACATCACAGTCCCAAAGTCTGAAATGATTTTTAAAAAAAATATTTAGACCTTTACAGAAAATGTTTGAGGCCTCTGGTTTTAAAATCAACTCAGAACCCAAAATTAAGGCTGGAAACCAACAGGAATTTGGCGAAGAGAATAAAATACTTGCTTTAGACTGATCTGTTAATTCTTTAGTAAGGTCTACATTGCTAACTCACGCTGTCACATAAGAAAATGCTTTGTGGGATTCTGTCATTGTAGAGGAGTTGTCTGTCCTGTTCTTGTGTGATAAAAATAGACTACTGGAGAAGACACAGGAGCCCAAAGGGGGCAGGGCAGAAGACATCTGGGAGAGAGAGAGAGAGATAGGTGTAATTCCAGCATTGGGTAGATTTGTGTGTGCATATTGATAAACTGTTTATTTGTATTACTAAGCATACATACCAGGGTACTTCAGAAAGTTCATGGATTGGGGCCGGAGTTGTGGCATATTAGGGGAAGATCTGCCTATGATGTTGCATCCCATATGGGTGCTGGTTAGTGCCTTGGCTGTTGCACTTCTAATCCAGCTCCTTGCTAATGGCCTGAGGTAGCAGAAGATGGCCGAAGTGCTTGGGCCCCACCTGTGGGAGACCCAGATGAAGCTCCTGGCTCCTGGCTTCAGCCAGGCTCAGCCCTGGTTGTTGCAACCATTTGGAGAGTGAACAGGCTGATAGAAAGTCTCCCTCTCTCTCCCCCTCTGTCTATCTGTCTCTCTCTCTCTGTGTAACTCTGACTTTCATATATATTTCACATATTTCAATAAATCTTAAATCAGTAATTTGGTGGACAAAAATGGAATTGATAGATGTTTGTTTTGGTGCAGGACATTTTGAAATCCATGTATTTTTTTTTTTTCAAAATACACATCTTCCATGACCTTTGTGAAGATATCTCATGGTGTGTGTATGTACATTTACATGCATGCAGACACATGTACACACATATATGGTAATCCTGTCAACTTGAAAAAA